GAACATTGTTAAGGCTCACTGGCTAAGAGAGTTTGCCATCAAGCTTGGTGACCTGAGTTTGATGCCTGGAACTTACATGTTGGCAAGAGAGAACGACCTCCTGCAAGTTGTCCTCTGACCCCCATACCATTCCCCACCCCCAAATAAACACATGTAAAAACGTATTTGATACTGAACTCATGTGACTGTATGCTATAGATGTGATTTCTCTCCTAAGGACCTCTTGTCTGAGTTATTTTTCGTGTTTAAATTTTTTTTTAATTCGTGTGTGTGTGTTTGTGTGTCTACCTGTGTGTATGCATATGCGTGTGTATGTGCATGTGTGTGTGAGTGCTCAGGAGGCCAGAAGAGGACATTGGATTCTCCAGAGCTGGAGTTATATGCAATTGTGAGTTGCTATGTGGGTGGCTGGGAACAAAACCCACGTCCTCTGCGAGAATAAGTGCTCTTAACCAGTGCGCCATCTCTCCAGTGTCCCTTTTATTTTTTTATTGTATTTTATTTTGTATTTGTATCTGCCGTGTGTATGTGAGTGTCCAAAGAGGCCAGGAGAGTGTTGGATCTCCTGGAGTTAGAGTACAGATGGTTGTGAGCCGCCTGATGTAGGTATTGGAATCCTCTAGAAGAGCAAAAAGCTCTCTTAACCGCTGGGCCATCTTTTAGCCCCTCCGCTGAATTTTTTATGTAACTAAAGGCTATATACCCAGTGCTTTTAAGCCTGCTTCCCATCATTGGAAATTGTTTGGTTTAAAAAGAAGAGAGAAGATCCTGGAAAATTATTAACCAGCATGCAAATTAGCGTAATAATGCATTGATGTCAAAGTGAGGAGGTCCGGCCAGAAACCATTTCTCTGCCTTTTTTTTTTTTTTTTTTTTTTTTTTTTTTTTTTATACCCCAGGCCTTCCTTTAACTCACTATGTAGCTGAGGATGACCTTGAATTGCTGATCCTCTGGCTTCCACTTCCTGAGTGTTGAGGAATGTTGGGGTTACAGACCTGTGCCACGCCATGCCCCATTTACACAACACTGGGGATTGAACCCAGGACTTTGGGCACACATGACAAGCACTCTACCAACGGAGCCACAACTCCAGCTCCCTCATCTTTAGAAAGATTGGCATCTTCTTTTCCTGATTACTGTCTCTGACCCCTTGAGGACCACAGGCACACCCCTTACTAAATCCCGGCTCTTCTCAATGCTCCCTGGGCCCCCCATGTCCACGTGGAGCTGCACTTGACCCTGCATTGGGATTTTCACACATGCTTCCCAGGCAGTAGACGGGGAACAGGTGCACACAATGAGTTTTTCTCTGTGACATACATAGAGGAAGGAAGAGGCAAAGGTCAAGGCCTGGGCACTCCCTGCTCCCTGGTATTTGCATCCTGGTTCCTAGTGGGGGCCACACTCAGGTCAGCCTGTGCATCACCTGGCTGAGGGGCTGATCACTGTTAATCCAGGGCCTGCTGAATTCTGCTAGTTGTATATCAAGGCTTAGTCCCTCCACCCTACCCACACCCCAGAGCACGCTGTTCCCATTTCCAAGTGAGAGAGCCCAGAGTTGCTTTTTGGCTGGACGCTGAGCAGTTTGACAATCCTGGCTCACAGCCCATTTCTCACTCCCTGCTCTTTGGCCCAGGCTAGCTCTCAAGTGCTACTGAATACCAACTGTGGGGCTTAAAGGGACCTGGAGGAGGAGGCAAGGAGCTGAGGTTACCCAGTCCCATGGATGATGACAGTCAAAATCTAGAGCACCCTCTTTTTGCATCCTTTTGAGATAGGGTCTCATGTAGCCCAGGCTGGCCTCGAACTCACTATGTGGCTGTGGTTGACCTTGAACTTCTAATCCTCCTGCCTCCAGCTCTAGGGTGTTGGGATCACTGGCGTGGACTGCCACACCTGGTTCGCATCTTTGTGTGAAGGACCAGAGATGATAGGTTATTTTGTTTAGTACTTATGAAACTTTTACTAGGTAGGTACTGTTACCTTCTTTGCATGGCTGGAAAGGAGGCCCAGAGGTGCAGCTTGAGATCCAGTGGAGGCCTTTCCCTTTGAGTGCTGGCTCAGGGCTACAGTGTGAGGTATCTTTGCATAGTTGGGCTTGGAAAAGGAGTGAGGTACAGGGCAAGAGCCCCAAGAGCTGTGGGCTCTGAGCAGAGGAGAGATGAGATTCGTGTTCTAAAATACTATTATTGGCCACGGGGCTGAGAATCTTAGGGTTCAGGGCAGGAGCAGACATGCACCTGGAAGCCTCCGGTGTCTTCCTCGATCGCGCCCCACTTTGTTTCCTGAGCAAGGTCTCGCTACATCTGCAGTTTGCCAGCTTGGCTCTTCAGACTAGCCAACTTGCCCCGGTCTCCTCCTGCCTTTACCTGTGAACCCTGGGATCGCAGCACCTGGAAGCCTCCGGTGTCTTCCTCGATCGTGCCCCACTTTGTTTCCTGAGCAAGGTCTCGCTACATCTGCAGTTCAGCTTGGCTCTTCAGACTGGCCAACTTGCCCCGGTCTCCTCCTGCCTTTACCTGTGAACCCTGGGATCGCAGGTGCACCTCCATGCCTGCCCAGCTTTCCATGTAGATGCTGGGGATCCAGATCCTCATTCTTGCATCGTAAATGGTTTACCCACTGAGCTGCTCCCCACCTCCTTTGCACTTTTTTAGTTTTTTGAACTTACATTTTTTTGAGGGAGATCGCCCATGCGTCGAGATCTGAGGACGGCTTAGCGACATCAGTTCTCTCCTATGCGGGTCCTGGGGATCAAACTCCAGTTGTCATGCTTGGCAGCAAGCACCTTTATCACTGAACCATCTCACTGGCCCCCAGGGTCCCTGTAGTGCTTTTTAAGCCATGTCTTATAACAAACTTGGTGTCTGTTCTCGTTGGGAGGCCTTCGTTTAGTCTCCTTTTTTATGCCTAGATCAGTAAATGTCTCAGTTCTGACTGGCTGTTTTCCATATTTTGAGGGTTTGATGTTTGGAGTTCAGAATATATTTTCCTGCATTAGTGTTGATGAAATGGTCGTTAAAGCTTTGCAAATTGGCTGGAAAGATTTGGAAGTTTTGAGGGTTTGATGTTTGGAGTTCAGAATATATTTTCCTGCATTAGTGTTGATGAAATGGTCGTTAAAGCTTTGCAAATTGGCTGGAAAGACTAGGAAGCCAGAATTAATCCCACAGCTGCACTTGATATCACGACTGAGGTTCTCACTAAGCATTCGTTTCCCTTCACCGCATGCGTCAGAGTTCTTACTTTGTTTTGTTTTATTTTAATTTTGTTTCATTTCATTAAAATTTTTTTTATTTTATGTGTATGAGTGTATTGCCTGCATGTGTGTAAGTGCACCCATGTCATGCAGTGCCTGAGGAGATCAGAAGAGGGCATCGGATCCCCTGGAGCTGGAGTTATGGACGATTGTTAGCTGCTATGTGGGTGCTGGGAATTGAAGCCCAGTCCTCTGCAAGAGGAGCCAGTGCTCTTAACTGCAGAGCCATCTCTCCAGTCCCCTCATTTCATTTTTTGAGACAGGGTTTCCCTATATAGCTCAGGATAGCCTCATACTCTCATTCCCCGACCTCAGACCCTGAGTGCTGGTTACCCAGGGACCCCCACAGATGCTGAGCCCAAGATTCTAAGTGCTCGTTATCCATGGTTTTCCTGAGTTAAGTCACTTCAGACTCATGGTCTACCAGACACTGATTACCCTTTACAGATGAAGTCCTGTCTAGGAATTTCCCCAGACTTAAAATTAGCTATTGCTGGATCTGGGATTTGAACTCAGATATTTGACTCAAAGTTTATGATCATAACTACCTTGGGCTAGTGCCTTTGGGGGAGGAGGAAAGGGAGAAAGGGGGAAGGGGTGATGGGGGAGGGAGGTAGGGGACGAGGTCTGATTACAGAGGTCATTGACTGTGGGTTGACTTCTGTCTTGCAGAAGTGCTCTGTAGTTATAGGAAGTACTGTAATCTGGCGTCCAGTCATTTTCCTTTACACATTCATCTTTGTTTCGTTAGTTTGTATGTTTTGTCCCTGTAGCCCCAGCTGGCCTGGAACTTGGTATTTAGACCAGGGTGGCCTCGAACTCACAGAGATCTGCCTGCCTCTCCTCCCAAGTGCTGGGATTATGGTGTGCGCCACCACCAAGATCAGCTTCATTTCTTTCTTGATAAGCGCTACAGTGAAGTTTTGTGAGGGCAAAGGATTCTGAGTCCTTGGTACAGTGTTGCAGCTCCATTACCTGGGGTCTGACCTTGATGTTGCTTGAGTAATGCTCAGTATTGATTGATTCTGTGAATTTCTCACATTTGCTTCGTCTTACAGAATAGAATGCAGTTTGGGATTCCTTTTCCAATTACATATCTTCCCCCAAACCAAATCTCCCCTTTCTGAATCCTCACAGTAAACAGTGTGGTGACTCAATGTTTAGCATTCTGGGTCTTGTTTTCAATATTAGAATGTATTTATGTGCATCCATTAACCAGTGTATAGAACTGTTTGCAGAGCTTTGCAAGTTTTTTACATAGAAATGTATGTGTTGTGGTATTGTTACACTTGGACTGAGGAACAGATCTAGAAAAGTTCTGGTGCAGAGGGAAACAGAACATCTAGTTTCCGTCAGAGGAAAACTGTCCATGTGCCCTAAGTAAAATGGCAGCAGGAGGGGGATTCACCACCTCTGGGAACACACCTGCCGTGACTTTTTCAGTGGCTTTTTTTTTGGTCTTTTTGAGACAGGGTCTCCTTGTAGCCCCAGCTGGTCTGAAACTTGCTATGTAGACCAGGCTGGCCTTCATCTCAGAGATCTACCTGCCTCTGCTTTGGCCTCTGCCTCTGGAGTGCTGGGATTAAAAGTGTGCACCTGACTTTCAGTGACATAAGAGTCAGATGCACACTGGCTATGTCTTCAGTTTCTCCAAGTGAGGGGACCTTAATGCCTCGGGCAAAGCCCATCAACGAAGTCCAGTGCCTGCCAGTCTCAGTAGAATTGTTTCCTTTCCTTTAGTTGAGACGGGAGAAGATTGACCTTGAAAACACCTTGGAACAAGAGCAAGAGGCCCTGGTCAATCGGCTGTGGAAAAGGATGGACAAGCTGGAGGCCGAAAAACGGTGAGTTCAGTGCTGGTCCTGGGTGTGTGTGTGTGTGTGTGTGTGCGCGCGCGCGCGTGCGTGCGTGCGTGCGTGCGTGCGTGCGTGCACAGAGGACTCCATGGCTGTGCGTGTGCAGAGGACTCCATGGCTGTGTGTGTGCAGAGGACTCCATGACTGTGTGTGCAGAGGACTCCATGACTGTGTGTGCAGAGGACTCCATGACTGTGTGTGCAGAGGACTCCATGACTGTGTGTGCAGAGGACTCCATGGCTGTGTGTGTGCAGAGGACTCCATGGCTGTGTGTGTGCAGAGGACTCTACGGCTGTGGCTGGAGGGTTAACAGTGGGACACTTCTAACTCCTTAGGTGACACACACACAATCCTAACTTGTCAACAGAAATATATGTTGAACTCTTCCAGCTAGTCCCCTTTTCTTGGCTCTTCGTTTCACAATATTTCTTTTCATTTGTCATTACAGGGTCGCATCAGAACTATTCATGGTGCCATTGATCTCCTTCAGATAGTTTTTAAGGGTGGTTCTTTCCAAAGAAGTTAGGGGACACACACGCGCACACACACACTATTAATTTTTTTACATCTCAAGGATTTACTGAATTAGAAGATATTAATAGAAAAATTATCTGTTTTTAAGTCTCCTGTAAATAAATGCCTATAGACATTTAATACCTGTATGTTAACTATGAAATGTCCCATCAAACGTTCCAACTCCCTCGTGGAGGACACTGTCTGGCCCTTGGGTTGATCAGCAGGCAGATTGTGTGAGATGTATATATGGAGATAAATGTGGGTTTCATTTGAAGTTGTTTATTCCCTACACCAGAATCTTATTTACTACCTAGAGTCCTTTGCTTTGAGACTTTGGTTTGGAGGCATGTTCATAAGTTGTTTTGAGTTCTCTTAATAAATTTATAAATTACAGACGTACCACAGAGCTTTAAGAAAAGTGGAAATTAGATACATCTACAAGACATGCTCAAGTAATTGAGTCAGCACTATATTAGCAGTGTTAATAAACTGAGTTATGAGGACCTATTTTATACAACAATATAGGGTCCACTGTAATATGCATGTGTTCATTTTCTCCAGGGTCAGGTTACAAGTCTACCAATAATTCAATTTGCACTTGGACAAACTCATAGGGAAACAATTAACAATCAACCTCAGCTGCTTATTGAAGGGGATTAGAGAGCTGTTCCAGTCAGCCGGACTTTCCACAAGGCAGCTGGAGGTTTTATGTTATGACACCACGTTACTGAGATAAGCAACACGAAACAGGCATTTTGTAGGTAAAACACCGTGAATAGCAAGCAGATGTTTGTGTTTCACCCTAGCAGTAATTGGTAGAGAAGAGGACCACCAGTTACCAACCAAAAATTTTGACTTGGTTTGGTTTCCAACATTTTATCATTGGTCCATTCCTAAGCTAGCATTCACACAAGTTTTACAAGGCAAAATTTCAGAAGTAGAGTGTTTTTATATATTGGTTTGTTTTTATGTGTACCCATGCATGCAGTGCCCACGGAGGCCAGAAGAGGGCATTGGATCCCCTGTACCTAGCCTTATGACAGTTTGAGTTGCCATGTGGGTGCTGGGAACCAAATCCAGGTTCTCTGCAAGAGCAGCCAGTGCTCTTAACTGCTGATCCATCTCTCCAGCCCCAATGTTGAGTGTTTTTAAGTGACTAAATCCTCCAGGGCTATTTGTAGTCATTCCTAAGTTTGGCCAAAATGATGAGCAGAATTTTATTCCCTTCACCCCCTAAAATCAGTTTGCCAACCATTTAGTCAAAGTCTGAGTGTTTGCTGAATGCCAGGTATAAGACTCAGAAACGAGCGTTCAGTAGACTTTCAGTTGTGCTTACCTGCCCGTGGTCATTCAAAGGGGCAATGACTCAGTGGGAACAGCACTTGCTGCACAGGTAAAGACCTGAGTTCAGATCCACAGAACCCATGTGAAGTTGGACAGGGTCGTGCATGTCTGTAATTCCAGTGCGCCCCTATGGTGAGACAGGAGGTGGAGATGGAGTCCCCAGAAGCTCTCGCTGTCACAGTGTGGAAGGGAAGGGTTGACACCTGCATTGTCCTCTGTGACATGCATGCACTCTACTTACACACATGCGCAGCTGCGGGGGACGACACTACCCTTTTTGACCTTGATAAGAGCTGGTAAGGGTGACCAGGAGTGGCCATCAGACAGGCAGAGTAGTCCAGCAGTCCTACGGATTCCACAGACACCAGCTTGCTTTTAAACAGCCCTTAGCCAACATGTTGTTTAGTCTTTTAGAGGCTGTTGTTCATTGTTGGATTGTCTTCCTTTTCTATGAAGAATCCTGCAGGAGAAATTAGACCAGCCTGTCTCTGCCCCACCATCGCCTAGAGATATCTCCATGGAGATCGATTCCCCGGAAAACATGATGCGGCACATCAGGTTTCTGAAGAATGAAGTGGAGCGGCTGAAGCAGCAGCTGAGAGCTGCACAGCTGCAGCGTATGTGCCCAGCCTTCCGGCCGTTTGTTTATGTGTACCAAACCTGCCTTGTTACCTGTGCTCACTGAATTGCACAGATTCACGTCATCCTGGAGCATGTGTTCTGAAAAGGAGATTTTGTGGGGGAGGACCATCAATGTAGGTGCTTCCAGAGGATGGTTCTGGTCATTTCAGGAGGGAAACAGCAGAATCCCAGGTGTCTGTCTTCTGTTGCTATGGCAGTGGGGTTATTAGCTCACAGTCCAGGTCCACTGAGGCAGGGGCTTGAGGACTGGTCACATTGTGCTCATGGTCTAGAGCGGGGCATGGTGGATTGATGCATACCAGTGCTCAGTTGACTTTGTCTTTAAAACTATATCTAGATTTTAAATATTTACTTAAATATTTAAATGAGCGTAAGTGTATTGCTCACATGTATATAAGTGCAACCATGTTGTGCATTGCCCACAGAGGTCAGAAAAGGGTGTTGAATCCCCTGGAACTGGAGTTACAAATGGTTCTTAGCCACCATATAGGTGCGAGGAATCAAACCCAGGTCCTCTGCAAGAGCAGCCAGTGCTTTTAACCTCTGAGGAATCTCTCCAGCCCTAATTTTTATGAATTCTTTGAGAATTTCGTACATTGTATTTTGATCATGTTCATTTCTCACTCCTCTCTCAGATCCATCCCCTGCATCTCCCCCCCCAACTTCCTGTCCTCTTTTGTTTATTTTTAATAACTCACTGAGTTGGGACTGCCCATATTCTCCTGGGGATGGGGCCATCCACTGGAGCGAGGTTGACCTATCAGGCCACACCCTTAAAGAAAACTGGCAGGGACTGGTGCTTCCCACCCCGGTGCGCCAGAGTACACTGTGAGTGTAGTGAAGATGAAGTTCCCAGAGGCCCTTCTCCGGGTGGCTAGATCGTGTCAAGCTGACAGTGAACACTGATCATCACACCAAGTCACAGTCTAAAGTCACATCCTCTCAGACTGTGCTAACCAGACCAGGGCAGGCGAGCTCTCTGCAGTGTTGGGGTATTAAGGCTATTAAGGGAGGGGAGGAGAGTGTTTGCCTTCCTCGCTACTGAATTTAATCTTAGCTTGACATTTGTGCATGGTGTTTGAAGAATGAATGCTTTTTGAATTTATACTTAATATTTTAGAAAAGGCCAAGATGTTGAGTTGGAAATCAGTGACCCTGGGTTTCTGAACCCTTGGTGAGACCCCTCTGCATATTTTTTTTTCGGGGGGGGGGGCGGGGGGGGGGTCTGTCTGTCCTCGGG